GTACTTTACATCCCTTCCAAAATTTTGATTCTCCTAATCCCCTCATTTTCCGTATACAAGTTTGGTTGCGCCGAAATTTCTGGTAAAAACATATATCGTACTCTGCTGATTTCCCTGTACATATGAATGTTTGGGGCAAGACCCAGCAGACTCTCCTGTGCGGTCAGCTGCTCATGGCCACACTTCACATAGTGGTATACCATTCTCTGATTATTTTGCAGTAATTGATACATAAATTGTTTTCTGTCAAACCTGTTTGAGTTTTTGGTCTTATTATCACTGTATGCTTGGGAGTCAACTCTGGTCTTGGTATTGGACACACACATCTCACTCATGTGTATCTCATGGAAAAGGGCGTTCAACCACCACTCGGGTATTGTCAAGTTCCATTATCAGTTCACTGTCACTAATATACTGTCTTTTCTACCAGCAGACACGCAGAATTTACCTCCAACGTCATCACTGCTCTAATGAATTTACTTTATTTTCCCCTCCTCACCGACAGCCCCCACCTTTGACACAAACTCCCTTTTGACGTTTTACCAGTGACAGCCTTACTACACAAACTTTGATTATATTTTCCTTTAGCATTCCCACTAACTTTACTAACTCTACGTCTTGCATACTCCTAACCCTCTCTATTTTCTAAATTTTAAAGCATATTTCATCCTTACGACATCTAACCTCAGCACTGTATGAACCCTTGGGGGTTTTTAGTGTTTAGTTTCGTTTATTAAAAAATAATAAATAATATTCCTATTAGATGCTGCATAGGTCAGCGGAAATCGCCGGACTTGTTAATCCCAGGACCGGGGTTTGACTTATCCCGTCCATCTTTGTTTAATCATTGGAAAGAAAGTCTAGCACTAGGATCCAGGGGTTGACGGGAATTACCTGCTCCTGGAACGAAGTGAAGGTGACCGTCGATAATGCGACAGCGACAAAGCTTTTGAGGGCACTAAGGGTTTATTCCTGAGGTCTACTGCTGCAAACTGTACAGAAGGAAAACATGCCCATTACTGTGTATTAGCAAAAATTCATTATGATCTGGCAATTAAGCCCATTTTTTGTTGTTGTTGAACCTGGAAAAATGCAGTGTATAATTGTGTTGAATTTTATTCTTTTAGGTGTTAATATTAATATCCTGTAGGTGATTTTCTGTTACCATGAAGACGGCAGTCAAGTGAGTCACCGATCACCTGTGAATAAAAGACATGAAGTAAATATTACCATGAATGTAGTGCTAACTGCCACGATAAACAAGCTATTATTAACAGAGTATGTGGTAAAACTTCTGACTACAGTTAAATAACTCTATCAATCTAGTACTTACTGGAAGATCATCTATACATACATAAAAAAAAAAAAAAAAAAAAAAAAAAAAAAAAAAAAAAATGGTTATAAATGACCATAATTTTTAAAGGGGTGGACCGTAAGCCAGCGGAAGGCCTCGTCAGATGACCAAAAGCTCCAAAGGCGGGTCATCATCTGACTAAGACCCGCGTCAGGAAACATTTGTCCTTTTTCCTGACGAACCTTACCTACCTATCTAACAAAATTGAAATACACGTGGGTAATTTATCCAAAGACATGACATAGAAGACCGAACTAAGGTACATGTAATCATTCCACACCAAGTGATATAACTGGTACTTTTGGATGTTTAATAATCATTATAACTGATGACAGATTATCTCGACCTGTTAGGCATTACCTACAGGAAGATTTGACTACGATAAACCGTGAATTTTCAGCAATTTCTGTTGTTTGCCACATTTGCTAACAACATACTTTTTCCCAACATTTGTGGTATGTTACATGTTACGGTGGTTTGTTACTGTCGAAACTGGTGACACTAAGACCCCAAAGTCTTAGTAGGAAATAATTTCAGATTTCTAGTAGACCTAAGCAAACAGGTGAGATGTTATTCACAAATCAGTATTATTCACTGAAATTTCCTACTGTCAGAAATGAACCTGAAATAATGTCACACATCCACTACAAAGTTTGGTTCTCTAGAGTAGGACGAGAAGGTGATTTTCTTTTGGAAAAGCTTAGCCCTTTGCATCTAAACTGCAAGAGCTTACAATGAAGATGCAATGAGCTCATTATTAGCATACTTTATAGGTCTAATCTGGATGAGGAATCCCCAGTCCTAGATCCAGTAAATTTGAGAGAGAAAAAACTAGGTAGCCAAGATTCTAGTGGAATTTTTTGTGCCCGGGATTTTTTGGTTGCACCCTCAGAGGTCCGAAATTAACGCACAGAAGTTACAGCAGAGTAACACTTATTTTAAACATGTGAATATGCAACTTCCGTTTCTGTATTTTGTGAGGGAAATAAGACCTGACAGTTATTTAAACAGCATCACAAAAACAATCTGGAAGATGATTCAGTTAAGGAAACTCCCGATGATGATGGGAATAATGGACATTGTGAAGGATTTGGTTCATTAAATTTTATTTTTTAGTGTTAGGGTAAGGATTAAATTATTAGGGTGTTAGGAATTTCCTATAGCTCTCGTTTGATCTTCGTTATGTTCTCAAGATACTGCTCCAACTTTACTAGTATTATTTTGGCTATAGTAAAGATATTATCCGTACTATCATAGGAAGAATAATTGGATAATTATCTCAGACTCCAACTCAAAATATATGTATGCTTTAGGGAACTAAGGGAAGAACGCGGGGAAAAGAGATAGACGAATGATCTCAGTACCTGAAACTACCAGGCCAATGATGACAGTGTTAGGAACTCCAGCAAATACTGACACCTAGACAGTGATGACATTGTTAGAAACATCACTAGATACCGACACGGGGTCAATGAAGACGATATTAGAAATACCCCCTGATGTTGCACTGAGAAATGGTCACGAGTGTAGAAATAGGTAACAACAAATGGTCATAAATTTAGCCTAGTTGTGTAAACGAATAACAGATGAGCGGTAGATATAAAAAAAAACACACAAACTCGCGTTCACCCCACCACACACACACACACCAAAGCCAGGAACTGTGATTCGAACCCCCGCAACCAAAAACTAGGTGAGTACTCACGAAAAACACACATACACACAACACACAAACCCGATAAAGCAGAAACACTTCATTGTTATTCATTCAATCACTCCTCTTTTTGGAGCGGTAAAGGGGCTATCGGTCTGAGGAATTAGACTTTTAGGTCTTTTTCGTCAGACCGATAGCCAATCCCCTCTTTCCCTATCCCACCTCCCCATCACCCCTTTCCCCTCCTCTCTTCATCCCTCCATTTTCCCCTTTCCTGTTCTGCCTTTGGGGTTTGTTCCCTCAGGCTCTGTAGTTCCTAACCTAAGAAGGTGTTCCGGATTCTATCTCTTTCCATTGAGGTTCTTGTTGTAGTGTAGTTTTGCTGTGGAATCTGGACCCATCTAGAGATCCCGATCCCTCTCCGGTCTACCACGGGGGTGTGGGAGGAAGGCTTAGGGTGTCTTTCAGATGACGGGTGTATCTCTAAAGGCTGCATACGGATTCCATGAGGTGGTGACCGAGGGAGGTATGCTTTGGGGGGGTTTCTGACCGCCCTCCCTTTTGTCCACGAGGTGGCTGGGCAGATGTGAGTTGCTATCCCGAGTGCTGGTTTACTGGGTTGAAGGGTAGGATATGGCACAGGTTCCATCCCGCATCTGCATTACCCACTGCACTGAGGTTGTCCTCTTGGCATAGAAGGGGAAACTTGTGGCCCTTTGCCCTTGGTAGCGGTCCCTCCACACTTTTTCACCCCTTGTTTTTTCTTTTTTCTTTTTTTCTTTCTCTTTTTTTTTTTTTTTTCTTAAAAAGAAAAGAGAAACTTTACCATGGAATCACAAGTCTATGTACCTACTCCTCTTGGGCCCCTTCCAGTTGCAGCACCCTCTGACGACCCTGCCTTGTTACCAGGCCATTCTTCGGACCTTTCTACTGCCCCTGTATCCTCTGGGGGTGACATTTTGTCCCACACTCCAGATGCAGAGGCCCCTGTCTGACTCCTTTGGCACCTCTGACCTCTGCAAGTCTTTGACTATGCTTCCGGCTTCTGGCTTCTCAGATCATGTGCCCGCCTCAACATGGATCACCTCGGTTTTTACATCTAAACAACCACAACCTTCTTCTGATGACATTATTTCGACTGACTCTCATTCTCCTCAGAAAAAGACTAACTACATAGTATAGTACGAATGGACCAAGTTTCTCAACTCGACAAACCGACATCTTCAGATATCTTTCTAATCATAGTATCAGCAGGGGGCTCCTACGCCATGTTCGTCGTAATATTCCGTTTCATGCTCTCAAGAGCGGGGCACACATCGTCAACAGTACAGAATGTTAGCCAAGCTCACGATCTTTCTCTCCTTACAAAACCCTAGGTGCCATTTCTGTGACAAATGAAAAACATTACTCTTTTAATTCTTGCAGTGGTACTGTCATTCTACGGATACCATTTTTCAATGTAATTTCCATACATGCGGTGATGGGATTCTGGAACAGCTTGAGCTCCAAGACTTCCCCATCCTTAAAGTAGACACGATGTTACTGCCTGTCCATGGGCGGAGGCACTTCCCATAAAATATAGCTCACTTAACTTTTGACTGCCGCGAGCTTCTGTCATAGATTTATATTGTGGGACACAGTTTTTCAAGTCAGGCAGGTAACCCCCTACAAACCACGACAGTGTAGAAATTGTCGGCGATTTGGCCATCTGGCAAAATATTTCAGGGCCATAAACTGAGTGCCAGTCTGTGGTGCCGATGACCATACCATATGTCCCTTTTTGCCTACATCCCTCCTGCCTTTATTGTCATGAAGGTCATCCACCTTATTCTTGTCATTGCCAGACAGAAGGCTTTACTTTTGCAATGGCAGTCCCTCATCTACGACTTCAGGGGAGACTTTCCCGTATTTCTTATTCTCGAGTTACTAAGAGACCCACAACCTCTGGGGTCCCAATTCCCATAGTCTCCCCTGTAATCTCACCTTCCACAGTCACCTCTGTATCTAACTCCTTTGCAGTCCTGGACTCTGTGGTCCCTACTTATTCACCTCCTACTGTTCTCCAGTCTTCATCTCACACGCAAGCTTCTATGTCTTCAAGACCTCGCACAACTCCTTCCAAGTCCAACAGATCCCCTAAAGGTAAATCTCCTTCCTTTTAATCACTTGTCTTTACCTTTTACCGTTTTTGTTGTGAGTGTGGACGTCCATCCTCCCCCTCGCACAGTACCTTCCTCTCCTGTCCCTTCCCAACTTCTTCTCAAGCTACCTCTAACCCCTCATCCCCCTTCCCCCACATTGGTAAATTCTGTCATCGCCCCTATCTTTACTCACTCTCCTCCTCCTATCCCCAATATAACCCCTATACAACGTCCCCTTTTTCTCTGAAAAAGGTGAAGCTATCTCTGACTAACTTGCCGAGACTAAACCATTGAGGACACTGATCCACTTCCTGTCGCTCCTCTTCACTCTTTTCCATCTGCACAACTCCTTTCTTTGCGTGTTTTCAACCCTTCACGCTTGTTCGTTTTCCGCTGCCTCCACATGTGGACTTTTCTAACCCTTTTAGTCCGTAAATATTTACAGTAGAATATCCGAGGGTTGAGAGACAACCGGTGAGAGCTTCATGTGTTGCTCTCTCAGTTTTCCCCTGTTTTTTGTTTGATTACAAGAACCCAATTATGCTCCGCTGTTATCTGTTCCATCTCGGCTGTGTTTTATTGTATCATCAGATCCTTTCCTGATGGAACTTTTTAAAGAAAGTGTGCCTCTTAATGCACCGATATACCATACCATCAGCTCTTTGCACTGCATTACACTGCAGCCCACATCCACTTGAATAAGCGGTATACAATCTGTTCTTTGTATTTCTCTCTTTCTCGGGCATTATCTATCCAGATTTTTCCTTTCTGGTTTCTTCCTTTTCTGCTACCACTTCTGTTGCTTGGAGATTTTAATGCCCACCATTTCCTCTGAGGGGGGTCTCTCTGTGACTCACGCAGAGGGTTTTCTCACTTCCCTTCCCCTCCATGTTTTAAATAGGGTGCTCCCACCCCCTTATGATATCCCATTCAATCTCTCTCTTGCATCGATCTCTTCGGTTTTTCCCTTTCTCAACCCGCACTAGAATTTATCGGTCTGTCCTCCCAACTTGCAAAGACAGTGATCATTTTCCATCATCCTACTTCTCATTCATATTCATCACCTCCTCAAAAGACCATGCTGGCAATTTGGGCCGAGCGAATTGGGACCTTCACTCCGCGTCAAACTGCTTTTAGTATGGATCCTTTTTTCGTCCTCCATTGATGAGCTGTTACAATATTTTCAACCACAGTTTTATCCACAGCTTCACATTCCATACCCAAACCTTGGGCGGGATTCTCAGAGGTTTTACCTTGGGGGTCTCCTGCCTGGCTCGTGCAGTACATTTGAAACGCACTGCATGGGCAGATATCATACAATAGGACCACAAAATCGCCTCCTTGATTTCAAGGGAACGAGAGCAGCTGTCCGCCATGTCATCCGTGAAGCTATACCACGCACTTTTTGGTGGATTTTGTCTCTACCGCGTTCGGCTTTCTCTATGAATGCAGTCGGAAAAAAGTACGAAAAAATGAGTGGCAATGGGCACTGTACTAACCCCCTCGACGTTGCCCCGAACCCTTTGGGCATTTATCTTTTCCCCTCTCTACCCCTCCCCTCTCTACCCCTCCTTTCTTTCCTCCAAAGCTACCAGAGAGTCTGAGCCCTTAGACTTTTCTTTTAGCAGAGAAGGGACTACAATTGGCCTTTTTCTCTTTTAGAATTAGAATCAACACTCTCCGCTTGCCCATCATCGGCAGCTGGGCCGGGCGGCTTTCATATCTGTTATATGTATGCTCCAGAATTGACATTCATCAGCCCTTGCGGTCCTCTTACGTCTCTTAATCTTATTTAAACACGAAGAGTTGTGCCCCAGCTGTAGAAATCTGCCATTGTACTACCTTTTTGTAAACCATTTATTGTCCCATTGCTTTTACCATGGGTTTGCAAGGTGTTGGGGCGTCTGGTAAATAGACATTCTGTGTGGTATTTTGAGACACCAATAGTCTCTCCACTAGGAAAGCTGACTTTCGTAAAGAGCCGTTCTAACCATTGACCCCTTAAACCCCGTTTGTACATTTGTACTAATACCTTTGCCAGTAAAACCCTCTTTTTTAATCTTGAGAAGGCCTATGATACAACTTGGAGATATAACATCTTGACCCAAGCTCACTCCTTAGACCTCCGGGGCAATCCCACCTTTTTCCTTAAGAACTTCTTTTCCGAGAGACATTTCCGCGTTCAGATTAATAATATGCTTTTACCGGACTTTGTCCAAGCTGAAGGTGTCTCCCAGGATGTGTCCTGACCACCACACTTTTTCTCCTTGCTATAATGATCTGGCATGTTCTTCCATCTAATATTTGGTCATCACTCTATGTTGATGACTTTGCTATAGCTTGTGCAGGCACTGATTGTCACCTCATTGCAGTTTCTCTCCAGCATGCAGTCAACTGTGATTCCAGTTTGGCCACTGCTCATGGGTTTAAATTTTCTAGTACTAAAACATCAAATTTTCTTTCACTAGAAAGTTCTGTCGTCTCTGATCATCCATTGCACCTATGTGGCTCACGTATCCCAGACCGTGATACGGTCAGGTTTCTTAGTCTTCTGTGTGACCAATGGTTATCCTGGAAACATCACATCACCTCTCTGAAGGCAACTTGTCATAGCTGGCCGAACCTCCTCAAAACCCTCGCTCATTTTTCATTAGGGGCTGATCGTAGAACTCTCCTTCGACAGCATTCTGCCCTAATTTTATCAAATTAAATTATGGGGAGCAGATATATTCAACAGCCTCTCCTGCAACTATTTCTAGCCTTGATCCCATTCATCACCAGATATTACGTTTGTGCCTCGGTGCTTTTCGCTCTTCACCTGTTGAGAGCCTGTATACAGAGGCGAATATTCCATCCTTGACCGATCGCCGTGATGCTCATTGCCTCAGCTATTATGTTCGCTCTCCTGATCTCCGCAATCTTTCCATGTATAGGATGGTAACAGATGTTAGTGGAAGTTCCTTATTTGTCCGCCACTCCTATTTACGCCGTCCCTTTTCTCTTCGCCTGCATTCGCTCTTGTCTTCTCTTCAGTTGCCACCTTTCTATGTTAATGTAGCATCTAAATTTTCCCTTCCTCCTTGAGAAGTTCTGACGGTTCGTGTCTGTTTTTCCCCACTGCCATGCACAGAAGCCCATATACCTATGGTTGTTTTTTGCTCTCTTTTTCTTATTCATTTCCAGTCTCATTCTCATGCCCTCGCAGTGTACACCGATGGTTCTAAGTCTTCTGATGGCACCGGATTTGCAGCAGTATTTCTGGACAGTGTCGTACGAGGGCATTTATTATCCCCGGCTAGCATTTTTACAGCTGAATTGTATACACGCCTCGTATCACTTATCCGTATTGCATTTATGCTTGTGGAATCATTTGTGGTAATTTCAGACTCCCTTAGCGCTTTACAGACTATACGAAAACTTGATTCATGTCATCCCCTGGCAATGAATAGGCAGACGCTGCTGCACGGTCAGTAGTACATGACCTTCCAGTTTCATATGGAGATGTTCCATTCACAGACTATTTTGCTGTAATTGCTACCCACCTTCTCTCCCGATGGCAACAACGTTGGTCTGATCTGCTACATAATCAAGTAAAGTTTCTGGCTGTCTTCTTGTCATCATCGTAGAGGTTGGGAGACGACTCTCTCCAGTCTTCGCATCGGGCACGCTCACACTCGGGTTGCTCATGGGTATCTCATGGAGAAATGCCCTGTTCCACTCTGTGAGAATTGTCAGGTTCCAGTTTCTGTTAGCCATATTCTGTTGGACTGCCCGCTCTATCAACGAGCACACAGAATTTACCTCCGATGTCATCACCGCTCTACTGTCCTTACTTTACCCTCCCTCCTTGCTGATGGGTCCTCCTTTTAACACAGACTCTCTTGTTGACTTTTTGACAGCAACTGATTTACTGCACAAACTTTGATGATGATGCCTCTAGTACTCCTCACAACCTTTCTACCTCAATATCTAGCAAACCCTCTACCCCTGCACTATCCACTGCCCTGCTGCACTCTATGACCAAATAATCCTCCCTCTCTCTTGCTACACAATACCCCTGCGCCCTTCCCTGCCCTGCTGCACTGTATGACCCTTGTAGGTTTAGTGCTTCTTTTATAATAATAATAATAATAATAATAATAATAATAATAATAATAATAATAATAATAATAATAATATAATAATAATAATAATAATAACAATAATAATAATAATAATAATAATATAAAATAATAATAATAATAATAATAATAATAATAATAATAATAATAATAATTCAATCATCACTGCGTAGCCAGAAGTGTGTCGGCGCCAAAGCTCAGATAGCTTTCCGATCTACAACATCCTCTCCCCTCCGTCAGTGTCCAGATAGACTGTACTCTATACACCAGTACTCAAGACTAGCTAACCAGTCTCTCCTGAATCTCCTAAATTGCTGTCCCCTCCCACCTAACACGCTCACACAAGTCTGATGTCCGGGCCCAATAACATTAAATACCTCCTTTACTCCTCAAACCTGGAACTACCCCTTACCCCTCCTGCCATTTTCCCCAGATTTATATGCCCTCCTAATCATCCTAATTTGTGTAATCCTCTCTATACGTTGAAACCACAAAACAAAGATTCCTCTGCTTTTTCAATAATACGACTGGTATACCACATACCTCATCGACCAACAACAAATTCTTTTATCAATGCTCACATAACATCTCTGCTGCCTCCAGCCACCTCGCTGCAATTTTTAAAACCAATACTTCACATTAATATAACAATATTGCTTCTATTCTACTGTAGTATATTTCCTTCTCGTTCCTAAATGAATGAGATTCTTAGTCTCAAAAGTTACCTTCATTTCTCCTTTTGTCATTTCTATTGTTCATTTCATCTTTAATAGACCCGTCCACTGGTAAGCCCCACTCTTAAATATCTAAACATATTTACTTCCTCCAGGAAGTGGATGCGAGAGGGAAGAAGAGCGACTGATGAAATGATGAGATAAAGACAACAGAAAGAGAAAAAAAGATAGCATATGAGAGGTTTTTGCAAAATAGAAGTGATGTAGGGAGGTAGGAATATATGAAGAGGGAAAAAAGAGATTAAGAGATTGGTGAAGGAATGTAAAAGGGGAGAGAGAGAGAGAGAGAGAGAGAGAGAGAGAGAGAGAGAGAAGAGAGAGAGAGAGAGAAGGAGAGAGGAGAGAAAAGAGGAGAGAGAGAGAGAGAGAGAGAGAGTGAGATGTTATCAACAAATTCTGCTGAGAATAAGAAAAAGTTTTGAGATTAACAAGTTAAGAATGCTTGCGGAACAAATAGATTTGACAGTTAAAAATAGGAGAGAATTATTAGATGGAGATTTATAATGGGAAGATGGATGGAATATATTGAGGAACTGTTAAACATTAATGAAGATAGGGAAGCTTTGATTTTTGTGCATTGGGCATGGAGGTATAACATGTTGTAGGAGTGAGGAATAGCCAGTTATGGGTGTGGGAGAGGTGCTTGAAACAGTGGGCAGAGTGAAAGGGGCTAGAGCAGCTGGGATTGATTGGATGAAAGCAGAAATGTTGAAAGCAATTGGGGATATACTCTTGGAATAGTTTGTGCTTTAATTTAATAAATGATTAGAAGAGGTGACTGGCAGAAAGCATGCATAGTTCCTTCATTTAAAAAACAAATGGGACAAACAAAGTGTAAAAAATATAGGGAAATAAGCCTCTTGAGTATACCTGGTAAAGCATATTATTGAAAGAATTAAGAGAAAGAGAGCAGGATTGCAGATGAACAAGGAGGCTTTAGGAAGGCTAGGGATTGTGTAGACCAAGTATTACAGTGAAGCATATGGGTGAACAGTATTTAGATAAGGGTAAAGAGAGTTTCGTTGCTTTTATGGATTTGGAAAGAGCATATTTTAGGGTGGATAGAGAAGCAATGCGGCAGTTGTTGCTAATGTATGGAATAGATGGTACGTTACTGAAAACAGCCAAGAGTTTTTACGAGGATGGAGAGGCGCAGATTAGAGTATATAGGAGAGAGGGAGATTATTTCCCGGTAAACGTAGACCTTAGACAGGATGTGTGATGTCACCGTGGTTGTTCAGTATATTTATAAAAGGGGTTCTATGAGATATGAATATTCAGGTGATGGCAAAAGGTGTGAGGTTAAGAGATAAAGAATCTAACACAAAGTGCGAGTTGTCACATTTGTTTTTGCTGATGACACTGTACTTTTGAAGATTCTGAAGAAAAGTTGCAGAGGTTTAGTGGATGAATTTGGAAGAGTATGTAAATGAAGGAAATTAATAGTGAACATAGAAAAGAGCAAGATGAATGAGCTTAACAAAAAGATAAGAAAATGAAAGATTGAATATCTGACTGAAGGGAGGGAGAATGGAGGAAATTAATGTATTCAGATATTTGGGAGTAGACTTGATAGCAGATGGGTCTATGAAAGGCGAGGTACATCATAGAATTAGTGAGGGTAAAAAGGTGAGTGGTGCACTGAGGAGTCTGTGGAGACAAGAACGTTATCCATGGAAGCAAAGAGGGAAATGTATGAGAGTATAGTGGCACCAATGCTCTTAGATGGGTGAGAAGCATGGGTGGTGAATGTTGCAATAAGGAGGCTGGAGGCAGTGGAAATGTGTCTAAGAGCAATGTGCAATGTGAGTATAATGCAGAGAATCCATGGTTTGGACATTAGGAGGAGGTGCAGGGTTTCTAAAAGTATTATCCAGAGGACAAGCAAGAGTTGAGGTGGTTTGGACATTTAGAGAGGATGGAACAAATATAATGACTTGC